GCGGCGCCCACCTTGCCACTGCCTGACTGGCTTGGGGAGATGTAGGGTTTTGCCCGCAGCCTTTGCCGCCACTGACCTGGCTTCCAGGCTGGAGCAGGTGGGGTTAACTTTGTGCTAGGCTAGCCTCCTGGCCTCGGTCGAGCTGGGAAAGGCTTTTGCTCGATGGGGAAGAGGCGTGTTGAAACCAGAGTAAACGTGTGCCTCCTTCCACATTGTTTATTCTGAAGCCTGAGTTCTTAAAGCGGGAATAAAGCCAGGGGCGGGTTGGCCCACGAATGTTTGCATGCCAGGGTGCCCTGGCACCTACACCAACTCTGTTCCTCTCCCCTTCCCAGGGGAAGTGGACCCAACAAGTGGGCCTCAATTCTCCAGGGCAGCTCACCTGATGCTCTGGAGACTCTAATTGCAGTAAGAACTGGCCTTTAGGCAGAGAGAAGACAGATTTATGCAGTGCCTGCTGGGGGACAAGTCCTGCCCTGTGGTACTTTTGCAGTGGAATTAATGGTTACTCTCCCAAAACTCAGAGTTGTGCCCTCTTTGGTTTAGAGATGGGAAAACAGACTTAGGTAGGGTGAAAGCCTATGGTCACACAGAAAGTGGCTGAGCCAGGATTTAAACCTGGTTTAGCTTCGCCAGAGCTAAGACCAGTGCTCTTCTTGTTGCCTCCTGGCTGTGGAAAGGGGTGTGTCCTGCTCTAGGATCATGGCCCTATTGTGTGCAGCCTGGAGGCTCCTGACCTCTGAAAAGATTCTGTCCAAAGATTCTGGAGATGTCTGTCTGGTAAACCACTTAACTGACCCAGATTAGCCCAGATTGTTCAACCTGCAGACCCCTTGTCCACCCTGTCCTCCAATCAAGGGCGATGGCTGGTGTTTGTCATGCTATGATGGGAACAGATTGACTGCTGGTGTCTGGCGCTGCTTGGGGTGAAGCTTGCCTGTGCCATGGACTTGGTCTCCCTCTGAGAGTTGGCTTCTGGGATGGCATAAGAGAACTATGTTAGCTGAAATAATCTCTACCTTAGGACTGATTCTAGTTTTGTTATTTTGGGGGGCAGGAGGAGTGGTGCAGGTGTTGGAGTATACCAGTTATAGTTATAAGGTGATTGAAAGTTAGAGTTTGAGCATGCCTTGATAAAAAATGACATCACTTTTATCCCTACTTCCTTCCTTCTTCAGGGCCAGAGCTCTGGCTTTCTGCTTGTCTCTCTCTTCTAAAAGAAAGTCATGACTAGCTTACCAGTTACACTTTATTTATTTATTTATATCTCCGAGAGGCCTGAGACTAAGAGTGTGTGTGAATGTTTGTGTGTGTGTGTGTGTGTGTGTGTGTGTGTGTTAGGAGTGGCAACCTTTTGAAAGGCTTTATTTATTTTTTAATTATAGTTGACATACAATATTATTTAGTTTCAGGTGTACAACATAGTGATTAGACATTTATATACCTTAAAAAGCAATTGCCCCAATAAGTCTAGTACCCACCTGATACCATACATAGTCATTACAATATTATTGACTATATTTCCTTTGGTGTACTTTGTATTCCTGTGACTATTTTAATAACCCAACCAGCTACACTTTAGCATAAATCAGCTTAAGAACTCAAGCTGGTTGTAGCTATGATCAGTGGAAGCCCATTCCCTGTAGCTGTAAGGGGCAGAGGAACAGGTACCGGTAATCTCTCTCTGCCTAAGATCGGTCTGTGTCTCTATTCTTTCCACCTACAACTACACGCCCATCTGGGTGTGCCTCCCAGTCATGGGCCTGCCCCTTTTACTACCCACTACTGAAGGGTAGAGCTCCTGTTGTCTTGGTGGAGAGCCTTGACCCTGGAGGGAGTGGTGGAATATGGGTGCAAGAAGATTTGGATTGATCACTGCTAATCTTGGAAGCCCTCCCTGGACTAAGGGTCTCTGGTGTTGAAAGAGCCAAGAACTGGAATACTGTTCATCATGCTGGGACTTTTTTTTCTTTATATCATTAAATTTCCACATTAGTTGTCTGAATACGTTGGTAGAGTTATTCTCATTGAACAGATGAGGAAACAGACTCAGAAAGGTTAAAATTTGCTCCTATCACACAGCTAGTGAACAACCAAGCTAGGATTCTGGCTTTGTCTGTTTGAGAGAGGTCTGTGTGGTGAATTAAATACTAAGGGAGGCAGGAAAACCTTGTGGCCATCCTCTGAACTTGGAGGTTTGATCGGTACAGCTCCCCTAATGTGCTTGCTATTCCCACCTTATATTGCACCTCATTTAACATCGCTGTTGATAGGTTCTGCGACTTTAAGTGAAACAGTATATAATGAAACCAATTTACCATGGGCTGATTGATATAAGCGCCAGTTAAGTTTCTCGTCAACGTTGTAATGAACCAACGTTGAATGAAACGACAATATTCAAGGACATGCTATAATTATTTGTGAATGTGTCTTCGCATCCCTCTAGGAAGTGTCATTTAAGATACTCATAAACTTTGCAGGTTTATTTTCTGCTTTTCACAAATCCTCTTTGCTCTGTAGTCCCTGATTTTTTATGCCTGTCTTTATTAGGATATTCACCATGATGTATTGCAGTCCTCTATTTTAAAATGTCATGCCCAGCCAGCTCAGGTGATTGAGCATTGTCCCGTGCACCAAGAGGTCGCTGGTTCAATTTCCTGTCAGAACACGTGACCAAGTTGTGGGCTTGATCCCCAGCAGGGGGCGTGCAGGAGGCAGTTGATGGATGTTTCTCTCATGGATGTTTCTATCTCTTTCTCCTTTCCTCTCTCTCTAATAAAAAGATATTTTAAAATGTCATGAATATTTTCAAACAGAAAAATAGAGGGAATAGTATAACGAGCCCTCAGATACTCATTATCCAGCTTCAACAATTGTCGTTTTCTCCTCTTTCTTCTCCCTCTCCCATTCTCCTCTTTTTTTCTTCTCTGTTCTTTCTTCCTGGGGTATTTTACAGTAAATCTCTGCTATCATTCCCCCCCTAAATAATCTAGTATATATCTATTTTAGAAAGAACAATGTCTTTCATACAACATTACCATTATTGCATGTAACAGAATCAACAGTAATTGTTTGGTCTCACCTGTCCATATTTAGATTTCCTTGATTGTTTGAGTCAGGATCCAGACAAAGTCTACCCTGCATTTGGTTGTTAGTCCCTTTATGCCTATTGTAACCTGGAGCAGCACCCACCCTACCCCTCTTTTAGCCAGCTTTTAAGTGCCCATCTGCCCCACTGGACAGCGAACCCCTTGAGAGTGGAGTTGGCTTCTCTGTCATGTGGATCCCCCGCACCCTGCCTGGGATGAGGAGGAGGCTCTCTCAGCGTCTGTCCAGCTGTGTCCTAGCCACTTGGGAAATGCGTTTGGAATGAATGAACCCTGCCGTGGCTTTGTGCAACTGCCTGTGTCTGTGTTTAGATAGAGGTTTTGAAAAAAGATGACTTGCTCGCGTGTGGACTTTCCTCAGCAAACGTCAGTCTGTAAACATCCTGAAATAATAGAACTATTTGCTGTGCTCACCCAGAGTGCTCTGGTTTGTGGTGGGGAGCCCAGACAGCCACATTTGTGCCTTGATCAGCAACTGGCCTCTCTGGATCACGTGTGGGGCTGACAGGGACTGAGGTCATTTGTGCCCGAGCTTTGAAAACTGACTTAGCCACAGGGATTACTGTGATATGACCCACACTCTTGAGATTCGGGCTGCGAGGGGAAGGTTGTCCACCGCCCTCTCTGTCCTCTCTCTGGACAGTGCTCCTTCCTTTGTGCCTTCAGGAGCCTCCTCGAACCTGCCTCACACCTGGGTGAGTTGTGGAGCCTTCTCAAGTAAGTATGGCAGATGGTGACAGAAAATGAGCGCTTGACCTTTCAGTGGCTTGTCTGAATTTGTGGTGAAAAATAACACCACCACTGGCACCTTTGCGGGAGTCCTAATGAAGGAGGCCAGAGGCTCAGACGAGAGCAAAAGGTGCTTTCTCCCCTTGGCAGTGAGCTTCACCCCTGATTCCCTGTCCAGTCTCCTCAAGGTGCCGGGCACTCCGATAAACCTCTTCTGACCCACCCAGCAAGGACCCGTCTCTGCAGACAGCCCTCAAATGAGGAGGTTGTTTTTCTTTTTCTCTTATTCCTCCTCCATATCCTCCTCTTCATCATTTTTTTTAACCATAGACAGTCTCTCCACTAGGCAGAAATATAACAAAATGTGATGTCTTTCTGGATGGCAAGGCTAGAGTTGATTTTTCCCCCCTTTATCTTTTACGGCTCAGTACTTTTCCAAAATTTTTATAATAAAAATGTTTTATTTTTCTAACGGAAAACCCAAATATGTGTGTGTGTGTGTTTGTTTTTTCCTCTTAAAAATTGGAACTTCCTTAAACCAATTTGGATGGGTAGACAAAATTATGCGTGCATTTGGAACAATTTATACATGTGGAGGAGGTCACAGAGCCATTGGAATTTTGATATGTACTCATTTTATGATATTATCTTAAAGAACATGCCTGGACTTCCTGAAAGTTAGAAAATAAGGAAACCTGGGGCTCAGGAGATGGGAAACTATGATACCCATGTAGCCTCACCCTGTCTCCCATTCTGCCTCCTCCCCTTTCTTCCCGAGAAGTTCATTTTATTTCCCCAACATGAAGTTGTTCTAATTTTAGGCTCCTGGTTTGGATTTTTTTATTTTTATTTTTTATTGAGGGAGGTTGAGATGTCAGAGGACAGTATGACATGCTGTGTCAAGACAAGGCTGGCTGGGCGGAGCCTCAGGCTCCAATGGTCCCTCTTGTCCTCTTGGGAAAGTGCCTGAGAGCCAACCACCCTGGTCCCCTCACTTTGGGGGCCCTGATCCCTCACTCCACCATTTTCCATTTTCTCCCCTGCGTCCTCCCCAGAGGTAGAAAACATGGCTGGCTGTGCTGATAAGGCCCCTCCTTTCTGAAGCATGGATCATCTGGTCTCAGAAACTCAGAGCTGGTGGGGGCGATAGGGGACGTGGGCTCTCTGGTCATAAACAAGCCTCACTGCAGGGTTGCATCACCATAAAGTCTGGGTTTTGAGAGGTTTCCTTTCTCTGTCAGCTGCTAAGGAAGCATCTGTCCCTGTGCCCCAATTGAAGAGCCTTTTGTAGATATCAGGTATGGTATCATTTCTTAAATGCGATTGCTTTGTACCCATCCATGCATCTGAATGTTGGGAGAAACGTTTTAGTTCATCACAGAAAAAACTGCCTATCTCCATGGCAGCTGGCAGGGAGTGGTGTGTGTGGATGCCGCTAATGTTCTTAGGGTTGGGATTTTTAGCATGTTCCTTTTGAAAAGTTCTTTTTTTATCGACTTGGAGGGGAGGGGGAGAGGGACATTGATTTGTTTTCCACTTATGTATGCATTTATTAGTTGATTCTTTTTTTTCCTTTTCATTAGTTGATTCTTATATGTGCCCTCACCAGAGATCAAGCCTGCAACCTTGGCATATCAGGACAACTCTCTGATGAACTGAGCTACCCGGTCAGGGCTTTTAGTGTGTTCTTGATTTGCTCTTGTGTTTCTCTACCCTGAGAATCGGGGTAATTTCCCACCCTAAATCCCCTCCTCCCAGGGGCTGTCCAGCACTTGCATTTCTTCCAAAGCTTGGTCACATTTCTCCTTGGGGAACCCAGAAATAAAGGCAGGCCCAAGGACAGGGCCTTGTGTCCTGCTGGTTTGGGGCTCAGGTTTTTCTCCTTCCTGGGCAGCAGGGGATGTCCAGTGCAGATGCCCGTTCTACTGGCTGCACGAGGAAGGCAGCAAGGAGTTGGACGACAGCCCCTGGTGCCTGAGCTGCCACAACAGCGGGGTATATGAGGCATTTGCAGGCCTGAGCTCCTGACACACCCAGTCCAGAAGTCCAGTCATTCCAGAGACAGGAGTGGGAATCTAGGGACATCCTGTTCTGGCCTTGCCACCGTGGTGTCAATGTGTTAAGATATGCAAACTACTTCTTTGCTCTCATGACTCTGAATGTCTGGCCGTGGCTACTTATTTGACTAGTGACTATATCTGGTAAAGATTTGTAGGATTTCGGGGTTTAGCCTGTGCCTGGGGCCAGGAAGATGAAGTGTAGGGAAAGATGAAGAAATGCTGGGAAAGAAGTTAGTTGGATTTCTGGTCACCGAAGAGAGTTGCTCCCTAGAGAGAGTGGGCCCTGGGTCTCTGGGAGCCCACTGCTGGACCGCTGTTGATCCCAGAGAAGCAGGTGGGGGACTGAGGTGTGCCACGCAGAGTTCATGGTTGCTGTGAAGTCAGGTTGCTGACACTCTAGTATTAGGACAGCTGGGTTTTTGCACAACTTGATGCAAAGGTGATAAAAGTCAGGAGCTTCCTGCTTGGAGGAGGGAGGAATCTGATAGCCAGATGAAAGGGAAAACAGAATAGAGGAATAAGCAGGGGGTCAGGAAGGCCCTTTCCAGACCCTCAGGGAGAGGATTCAGTCGTTCTCTTTTCTCAGAATGTCCTGTGGGGCTCCTGCAACCAGATGAGGCCTAGGGGACTATGGGGTCCAGGCTGGGAGAGCTCCTCAGCCAACCTCCTGGAGTTGCAGCATGTTCCTCTTGTGAAGGAAGGAAGAGGCTCTGGATGCAGTTTCAGGCTTCCTCTCGATTCCAGGCTGGCTGCAACCAGGGGACCCAAAAGTTCCTGCTTAATCCAAAAGTTCCTGCTTGGTCCAGGTTTTCACCTCTAGCTTGAGTGGGTCTGTTTACCTTGTATCTGACATTTTGGACTCTCTTAAAAATGACTCCCCCGCCACACACACATACATACAAATACATGGTACTCACCCCACACACATGCATAGATGCATGTACTCACCCCCACACACAAGCATAGATGCATGGTACGCATCCCCCTACACGCATAGATGCATGGCACTTACCCCACACACATGCATAGATGCATGTACTCACCCACACACACAAACATAGATGCATGGCACTCACCCCCCACACATGCATAGATGCATGTACTCACCCACACACACAAGCATAGATGCATGGTACTCACCCCCCACACATGCATAGATGCATGTACTCACCCACACACACAAGCATAGATGCATGGCACTCACCCCACAACACATATACAGATGCATGGTACTCACCCACATACACATGCATAGATGTATGGTACTCACCCCCCACACATGCATAGATGCATGTACTCACCCACACACACAAGCATAGATGCATGGTACTCACCCCCCACACATGCATAGATGCATGTACTCACCCACACACACAAGCATAGATGCATGGTACTCACCCACACACACAAGCATAGATGCATGGCACTCACCCCACAACACACATACAGATGCATGGTACTCACCCACATACACATGCATAGATGCATGGTACTCATTCCCACACACAATATATGATGCGTGTAAAATAGCCACTAAGTACAAAGGGAATCCAATGAAAAGTAAGTCCTTCTTCCCCTGTCCTCCAGCCCTCAGTCCTCTTTCTCAGTGGCATCTGGTGTCCCCAGTCTCCTGTGGATCCTTCTAGGTGGAGTCTAGGCAGAGCTGTGTGCCTGTGCCCCCCTTGCTCCTCTTCAGGCCTCCTGTTGTGCAACCAGGATGTGAAACAGCAGGGCCCACAGGGCGGCTGAGACTCACTAGTTACTTGAATTAGCCAAAGCTCAGCTATCACCCCGCTTTGTCACCTCTCCCCGTTAGAGACATCTTTGTGTTAGATTTGTGGGGATAGAGTCTTGCGCTGAGATAAATTGCAGAGGAATGTTCTGGATGCATGTGACAGAAGCAGGAGCAAATAAACATGCTGAGAGAGACCTAGGTTCAATTCCTAGCAATGTTGCCTTGGGCAAGTCAATGAACCTTAGTATTTTAGTCTTAAACAGGAGGTATTTACACCTCACTCGAAGTGTAGAGATGAAATTAAAATATTTGTGAAGTTTGTTTTTTTCCTACTTCTAAGGCACTCCAAAATGTCAGTCCCCCCTCCCCCACTTCTAAAGAGTGACCCTCTTTCAGAATGAATGGCATTGGCATGGAATCCTCTGGATGACTTGCTGGAAGTCCTCCCAGTGGGACCCTGAGCTTTTATTCCCTTGCAGAAAGGCAGCCAGTTCTCTATTTTCTACCAAGTTGAACTCTGCCCCCTCCCCCGCCACCTCCTCCTGCTTATGGGAAGCCCAGCCTCCATCCTCCCCAGCCTCTCAATACCACCTCCTTCTCTGTCCCTCTGCCCTCCCCACCCCCCAAACCCTACTGGCAAGCAGGATGCCACTGGCCACCTGGAGAGGACTCTGGGCTGTTTATGGCTGTCTCTGGGGTGTTTATGTTGTACTCTTCAGAAGCTCCTAGCAGGTGTCTATTTATTGCTGAAACTTCATTTTTATCTTCAGCATGAAAGAAGAGAGGGGCTATTTTTAGAAACCTTTAATTGGCATCGCCACACAATGCAGCCTAGATTGCCTCCCCACCTTTCATTCTTCATCACTCTCTACCCATTTTGAAATCTTTCAGATCCAGGCAGAGAGACCTTATATGTCCTGATTTTAGGACAGCACTTAAATTTGGCAGGCAGTTGTAATCGCTTAGAAAGGTAGGTCAGAGAAGCAAAGGCAACCGGCTGACTGTCTTTTCTGGGCTGGGACAGATGGTGTGAATGAGAGTAGCATTTCTGTGTCCATAGAAACCAACACCTTCCTCATTTCTGCTCCTTCCTTCCACCGTGGGAGAGGCCACCCCATGCATGCTGCATGCTGCCTGCTGATTGGCTGGGAGACCTTAGTGGTTCCTTTCCCTTTGGACTCAGGGAGGCTCCAGGTAAGGAGGGAGTGGGACTAAGGTACTTTCAGATGATACCTACTGGGAGGGAGGAAGAGGTGGAGACAATGAGTCACAGAATCTTGGGATGTCAGATTGGAAGGGCCCTCACTCTTGCACCTTGTTTTTTACCTATGGGGAAACTGAGGTTCAGGGGGTTCTTGATACTGACCAGAGGCCTGGAAGGTGCAGTTACTTGCTCAAGGTCACCCAGCCAGGTCCCAGTCAAGTCTGTTCTCCATCCACCATCTCTGTCAGGCTGTGACCCTGTGATCGGCCTCCAGCTGCTCTGCTTGCGGTGGGCCTGCCTTTTGAAGGACAGAGCCTCACCCCTCAGCCCTTTTCCAACCGTTCTCCCATCTCTGAATTTAGGATGCATGCACTTATTGCGCTGGTTTGAACAACCACTTGGGTGCAAGATCATTCTTTATCAAAAATACCTTCCCCAGAGCTTTGGGGCCTAAAATTCCTACCTTTGTTTTCAGCCCTTGTCTCCAGAGGGCCTTTGTAAATGTATATACTTTCACTGGGAAGGACAACAGAGATTAGTTTATCTTTGAATAACTGTCAGCTGAGAGTTGAACCTTGAGAGAATGGGGGATGAGTCAGCTGGGAATAGATGGAGGGCATCGGGAAGGATTGTAAGTAGGGTGTTCTCAGGACAGTCATGGAGCGCCATAGTCTAGGCCTTAGCTCACGATGCGTGGTTTCCATGCTTGGGGCACTGTGATGAATGACAGGACAAGAGTTCACCTGACTTGTGGAGGGAGGTGCTTTAGACAAGTTCACTGATGCCTGCACATCAAGACAGTATGCAGTAGGAGAGTTGCACAGTGTGGGGAAGCAGGGGAGCCTTCCTGGAGGAGGTGGCACTTGGTCATTGAGATGGGCCTTAGAAGATAGGAAGGATTTCCATAGGCAGAGATGGGCAGAGATATACAATGAGATGTGGGAAAGTGAGTGTACATTTGGAGTGCCACATGGTGGAAACATGGGGCTGCCTAGGGAATTTGTGGAAGCCAAGGCTGGAATCAGGTCAGCCCTGAGTGCTGGGCGGGGACATTGGAGAGGGATGGTCAGAGCTCTCCTTTAGGCAGATCAGCTTGTGGGGGATTCAGGGTGAGGGATGTGTCGGGAGGTCTGCGCTGCCCTCCATGCTTTGGATGTGTACACTGACCAGACAGCAGCTGTTTATCAGGACCAGGCAGTGTGTGGGGTGGGGAATAGGAGGTGTGGGGGAGGCGGCTAAGGCTGGGCCCAAATAAGGCCTCGTCTGTGTCCTGGTCTTGCCCTGCAGCCTTCTGGGTGA